GGCAACAATTACTCTTTGAGTAAGCGGATTGCGATCCGCTAACTCGTACTTGTTCTAAGGATAGTACGAAAGGCCGGTAACCTAAATTACGTTTTCTCTATGCGCAACGCTTCGGCAGCCCTGCTTCAATGCCCATCTCGTGTGACACACACACCCTGTTACCAGGGTACGTGTAACCCCGTTACAGGTCCCATGGCAAACCCCTGGTGGAAGTAATTGCTACTCCCAAAAAAACTCTCACATCGTGTAGGTGACATGGGGCGAGATTTGATATTCTTACGGCTGTTAACTTGTTGACTCGTGCGTACTAGAACGCCAATATGAAGTTGATATATTATAGGTCCTTTGTTCGCAAAATATTTAGGACCCCTATGCCACTCTTTTTATATAGATCCTGATTTGTCTCAGCCTATCAGCGGCTGCCATTGCGTCCACAATCATTTATCGTAATGCACCCGTAAGTACCAACCATAACCGTAGCCGTAATCCTCATGCATACAGTGGTAATCCCAACACCACACATCAACCATGTTTTTAAAGTCGGTAACTATCTGATGTTTATTCGTTCTTGGAGCGAGGATGATTTTCACAGAAAGCTGGGCATGTAATACTGCAGTACTGTTTGTCGATGACCGCACGCCAATCATCATCAGAAAGCAAATCATTGAAAGCATGGCATGGGCGTAAGCAATGTCGCAACTGGCTTTGCCACATCATCACTGAATTCCTTTAGACGATCCTGGCATCGAGTTAATGAAGATAGAGTGAGATCTCAGTTTCCAACTAAATAATGCATTAAGATATAATATATGTGAATAATGCAAAGCATCAGACTTTCGCTGAAGTGGGGTTCGTTCACTGTGAAGGCTCTGCCGGAATTTTTATATCCATGATATTAATGTAAACAAGGAGAAAAGTAACACCAGAAGGAAAAACTCTCACACTTAATAGCTATAATTTTAGGATGCTACGATGGGGATTACTGCCCCAACTTGCATCAAGTAATCAATCATAAGTATTATCTGTATCTTGGAAAAATATTGCAAATCTTTTTTGGCAATTTCTATCAATTATTTACAAACACATATCTTACGATCCAAGCTCCGGTAGCTGCTCATCTAACCAATGTGCGGGCAAAACTTCACTATATTTGCGCGTGCGAACAATATTGTTCAGAGACACGGTCGTGCTTCACGACCGTGTGCAATCAACCATACAATATTGCAACGCCTCGAAAAGTTTACGCACGCAGGAGGGGAGACAAATGAGTCTCAAGCTCTTCGCCTAAGATCTGATTTACAATCTCATGACCTTACTTACACCTGTGCTCATGTGATACCGATAAATATATATCCAAATCGAGCTAATATCCACGTATCATCTGCAATATTTCGTTATAGTCTACACTACAATATCCAAACACCGTCAGCTGCTTGGTCTACCAATGTGCGGACGATAGATTAACGTACTCGCACGTGCGGGAATTATTAGTTCAGAGACACGGCTATATTATCCAATTCCTGGCAAGGTCGTGCTTCACGATCGTATGATTCCATCCGAAAAACATTGCAGCCTCTCGAAAAGTTTACGCGCGTCAGAAGGGGGACAAATCGAGTGTCGATCCTTTGGCTTTGAATCTGACCATTGATCTCGTACGAATATTCCGTACTTACTCTGGACGCAACATGCGCACGCTTGGCAACGAGATTAAATCTCGATAGCAAGCACTTTCGATAATGTTATAAGTGAAGGAGCTTTTTTTACATAATGATAAACTTAAATTGCGATTGTTGTCTACATACTTCATGGTACGATGTCTTTCTTGACTCGAAAAGATAGCGTTTTACAGTCGACGAGTACTTGTCACAAATACTGGAAAAAATCTAGTGAAAAAATAGTACGTGCAGACGAACCTACATATAAAACCTTCATTCAAGTTCTTCGTCGACTAGCCATACAAAAAACCGAGCGGCACCCAAAGTACTGGAAATGATAGTTTAATGTACATAAAATATAAACTCTCAATCCACGACTTTCCTATTATTGGGTGACTTGCACCTTATCATCAAAGAGTTGCTCGGTGCGATGGTCAGAGCCGCTTTATGAGAGAAGATCTTGAAACAAACCTATGATTGAAATGAAGTCCAGATCGTGTTCATGCACCTTTCAATAAAGTCCGTTTTTTTGTGTTCTTAAGATAATATCTAGCACCCTGTATCCCCACTCTCCACAGGCTTCAATGACACTTCTGATGCAGTCGAAGGTACGATACCTTGCACCAGCGTTTCACGACTTTAAACGTAGGAAGCATGCCGGTAAACGATCTAACTCATGATCGGCGTATTAAAAGGACATAATCTACCTGACTTTTCTCCCAGTAATCAAACATCCCGAATAAAAGAAGCACTTTTCGTGATTAGACACTTGTGCCATTCGATCATTCGTGAATTTGCCGTTCACAACAAAACTTCACTTCGAAAATCACTCAAAAGACGCGAAACCAATTGAGGCTTCATTTCAATCATGCATCTATCGTTTGTGGTAATTTTTGGGTCTATGCATATGCTTTTCTTTGCTACCGATAGTGGTTGGGCATCGGCCGCAAAGTTACGCCAGGAAAAGAATGGTGTAGAGGTAGACGATGCAACGAGTGTCTCGGGCTGGCAGTTCTCCCGCGGCTTGAAATCTGGTCAAAGTGAAGAACGGGTGAGTGAGACAGAGAAGATAGCATTTGGTAAAATGTTGGGGGCATTCTCAGAAAGACAACAACAAATTTCAGATGAGATGCTTGAAGCAGCTCACATAGCCCGAGGAAAGCTTTTCCTGGAACTCATCAATAAAGAAATGGTAGACAAAATGAAAATTGACAATGCGTACAAGACAACGAAGTTCGAAGATTGGGCCGCCAGAAACGTCGACCCTCAAGATGTGTTCCATGCTATAAAAGTTGGCGAACCATGGTTTAAAAACGACGTGTTAAAAAGCATCGCAGAGCCTTACTTAGACTTCACTCCTACGAAAGCTGCAGCGATCACACCAAAAGAATAGGATTCAAGTCATTTGTCATTTTTGATTAGCTCGTTAATGTTTTTTTTGTAGAGGTTATAGAATACTCGTCAAAGTAAGTATTTCGGTGAGTACTGGATGTGCCCTTTGTTTTACTATTTCCTGCAGAATAGCGAACAAAACAGTATAGTGAGCATTACGCTACGACACTGACGGATCAAGACCTAGCGTGTTCTATAGTAGGAGGCAGATAACCAAATATACGCTGATTTGCCAGTAGTCCGTAAAAGTTGTAACTATCAAAGACACTCCTTTCATTAATTTCCTTTCAAAAAACCACATCCCTGGACTCTCGATGTAGACATGTTTAGCAGGCACACCACTGCAGAACGCTCAACAATGATTATACGTTCTTCCCTTAACAAAGTGGTAACTGAGCGAGAATGAATAAGCGAAATATCACCAGCGCAGCCATTGTGTTTACCGCAATAACGTGCCTATTGTATCCTTATCACAATTAAAAAAGTTTTGGAACGAAATTCCAAAGTATTTGTACGACACGTCGCGTAGTGATCTCGTCCTGATTGATTCAAGCGTTGCGCTGCCAAAAAAACAAACAGTGTGAAGACATTAACTGTAGAATACCCACAATTCAGTTGACGTGAACTTGGAAGATTGTACCGGATCGGATTTGTATGAGCAGCTAAGGCAGTATGGATCTTCTCATAAACTACAGTTGCGGAACGCGAATCACACATGTTATTGCCAGCATTTCATCACGTTTCTTGAGAGATCATTTTATGAATTAATTGGTTATAGACGTTTTTAACACAAATTATTATTTTGTTCAATGAAGACTCACAAAATGAGAGCTATGAATTTGGAGTAGCAACCAGCATTTTAAAGAGAGATTTTTGTGCCATCCATTGTCTTTTGTTCGATACTTGTGTAAGGAAAACGATCATTGAAAATTGGGCACATACCTTTAGTATGTAAGTAATTGGGCGCCCACAAATTCTAACGTCTTGCCGTATGTGAAATCGAATGACAAGCAACTAATATCTTATGTATTATTTGTATTCACTAACTTTTTGTAACATCCATAATGCCACATAAAATACTCATGCTTTTTACCTGAGCTGCCAAATTGACAATCGACACGCTGACTCATATTGATCTTTTTCGTTGCTTAGATATTATCGCATATCGACAGCTCAATTACCTCCATCACATCTCTATTCGTGTCTGGCTTGACAAGCAGAATGAGCAAAAAAGCTCGTTCTCTTTCGAATTAACACTACAACCGGTTCAAGGCTTCATTCGATCCGCGCATCATACAAAGGGGCAAAAATCATACCACTTGAGCACATCACCACAACACTGAGGCGTAAGGACACATGTCGCGGTTTCGATACGTTGTCGCAATGTTCACATAAGCGTTTATAGATCTTGTAGGTTAGAAGCTAATTGGAAATTATGCCAATTCGCATAATCCCGTAGCCGAACTAATTTGTTGAAATTAGCAATTTCTATATCCCACTAAAATTGCTTGCAACACATATTCAGTTTGCCATATTAAAAGTATCGCGTATATTGACGGCGGCTACAATCATCATGTATGCATGACTAAATCTTTGTATCAAACCTGCTACGACGTCACAGGTAGGAAAGTTTCCAAGTTGCTACATTGGTTACTTGGTAAGAAATATTATCATGTGACGCAATATTTGACTCCAGAAACCAAGGCAGTTATATGACGCACTGATTGGACGGGGGCGCCACGCGTGGCGAATCTTTCGTCAACATGACGTGCTGTTCCTTCAGAAATGGTGTGACAGATTCTACGATTAAATAGCCGTCCTGCTCATCGTATTCAGTGCTCTGCTAATGCTCTCGATAACGGACTTATTCATTACGGATGATAGGCTGCGATACTCCTTCGGAACTAACCTGTATAATTCGGTGATTTTACTGTTTTGCCTTTCGTTGCGCACATTCAAACGGAGGCATCTCCAAGCTCAACGAGTACGTTTGCCTGCGATAATGCGTTTAGCCTTACATGCCTTCGACTTACCCTGATCACTTCGTTAACGAGTGAGTAATCTTGCTAACCACAACCTTGTGGAGCGTCACTGCTCCGCACGATAGGCATACCCTTCAGTATTGCTGACTCAACAGTATTGTTATATCGTAGCGGAGATGGATCATCCCCAATACCGTCAGGATATGGTTCGTCTAATCTTGACTTGCAGTCACGTGCATCCACATGTTTTTGCTTTGAAAATGTGGCGATCAACCTTGGATACCGCAACACACAATCGGTCTCATGCGTCCAACCAGATATAATCTCGGCACACTGATACTTTTGCCTTTCCTAGCTAAGCTGAGCCACTTGTCTTTATCATTCAACTGAAGGTATTGCATCTACATACTTACGCCGGAACTGCTTCTTCTGGCCAGAGGTAGATACATAACTCACTAAAACTCAACTCAAGAGAGACGTGTGACACAGTGTTTATGTACTTCAGTGATCCATAATAGATTGTGCACGCTATACCTAGAATGAAACAGTATCTCCTCCAAATTCACGAGAGGTTGAACTGAACATATTCAATCGTCCCCGGCGCGAGACGCACGGATATTATCTCTGTATTTGGCACCCATGTACTACCTAAACTATGTGATAGTCTCATATTGTTCGTAATTGCATACTCGCAAGAGCTCTCCCTGACTTTGCAAAGCCAATACGATTAAATAACCCTGCGATATGAGTTTCACCGTTCCTGGAGTAGGCCCGCCCTTGAAATACTAAAGTTTGTTGATCTCGACCACAACGATTCAATATCAGGCCGTTCTGCCCCTGCTGGATCTCGACATTTCTATTCGATTGGATAATACAGTGACTCTGGGTCGACATTTTGCACCTCTGCAGCGAGGGGAGAAGTAACAAAAGGTGGAAACAAGTAGTATGCCACAAGTGTAGTATCTGCGAGTAGCACATAACTGTTGGAAGTTTCGAGGTTACTTTGTGTTCTTTATTTTGGCAGAAGTCCGTCATGCTCATCGATTTGCTAAATCCCGGGCTCAATCAGCCATCGAGGCACGAAAGATGAATTTTCCATTCGATACGACACTCACGTTTTACGATCACCACCCCCACGATCGAGTCTGCCGCTGTTTCGGCGATAAATATTTCGGCTCTCAAAAATTGTCTGGAATTTCCTGCCTATTTTGACGGAAAGACAAATTTTAAACGCACGGTGTCCTCGTTAGGTAGTTGAACCACACACGACATCGGTCACTTTAGCACTATTCATATCGGTAGTACCTCATTTTTCTAATAACCACACGTTAGTATCTATTCTCGCGTACAGTATTCCAGCTTGAAGATGCCAGCGTGACGTGCTGATGCTTCGCCTAAAGCACATTAATTTCATGGTTATAACAATTGCTATTACCCATCAAAAGTGATTTCCCTCGTGAAGGACTGGACGTTATATAAAAGCGGCCGCACTGATAGGGCTCGGTTTTGCTCTCCTAGGTTTTGCTCTTCTAGGAGCCTGGTTGAGGCATTCCCTAAAGGCATCTTGGGTTGCACATTTATCTAAATGGCGAACGTCTTCGGGCACTCAAATTACGATATCGGGTCTGCATCGCTAAATGCGCTACCCCTCGGACAAATTAACGACATAAGCTTTTAGGCGTATCTTGTTGTCTTTAACACGGATACGTGAAAGAATTATGAGCCACTCTCGAAAAGGATACAACCTTTATAGACTCGGTTGAGCGAGATACGTATTTAAATGTGTCCGTACACATTACACCATTGCCGCTTGTTCATATCTCAAACTGGCAAAGCAGCGGTGCTTGTGAGAAGGCTCGGGCCCTGTACAGGTGTTACACGTACCATGGTAACAGGGGTGTGTGTCACACAAGATGTGCATGCTGTGACTGCACCCAAACAAGAATACGGTGTGTGGCTAGGTAGCCAGTAGTCATGCATATTTAGATTTTACTGTATAAATTCAGTATATTTAGGAAAATCTAAACAATTATAATTAGGATAAATTTAAACAAATATCAATTTCGATTTTAAACAGAAGAGTCTCTTTACCTTGGTTAAGGTTTTAAGCACTCTTGGAGGCAGCGGATTGCGATCCGCTGCGCTCGTACTTGGTTCTTGTAAAGAATGAGAGGTCGGTGACCTAAAGACGCTTTCTCATGCGCAAAGCTACGGCAGCCCCGCTGCCTTTGGTAGCACTTGTAGTCAATCTACACCTGAATCGTTTCGACTATCCTCTGTGAGGATGGATGAATTTTCCTCTTTGCCCCAGGGCATGCAGGACGGTCTTAATAAGCTGGTGCTCTCGCTTGGCCCTGAGGGCGTGCAACACCTTGTGGTACAAGGCCCCGAGACAATCGGTGCGTATCTAAAGGCATTTCGGGTTACGGAAACGCGCTGCTAGAGCACCTGCAGCAGATGATATCTGCATCGTTTGCGTCTATGACGCCACCGTCGGTGACGGATGGAATCCCCTAACCTAAGCCGCTCATGGTGAGTGTTAAGGTCTTTGAGGGAAAGGATGGAGAGAATCTCCTGTTTTGGGTGAGAGATGTCGGGATGGACTCGCATCCGCCATGCTCCAGAACGAGCAACAGCGCTTGGCGCTAGCCATCACAAAGCTCGGCGGTCGAGCGCGAGAATAGGCACTGACGTGCGGCACTTCGGTCGGAGCTGCGTTTCCCTTTTGGGTGGAGCTGAAATTGCAGCTCCCACGAGTGTTCTCACCGCCTAATAAGGCGTATCGCGGGCGATCGCGTTTTCTTGCCGCCCGACAGGGCAACAAGGAATTGGTGGACTTTGTTCAAGGGATGCGCACTCTCATTGTTGTAAATAACATCGGAGCTCCAAAGGAGCAAAAAGTGAGGGTGACAGACGCGGAGTACGTGTTTTTCCTGGTCCCACCGAGACATGAATCTATGTACAGAGGCGACGGCAACGCCGTATGCGGGCTGCAAGACGCCGGGCGTCGACCTGACCAGGGTGTGTCTACCGTAGACGACGGTACACAGTTATACACCCTCGTCAACGTATGACGGGAGAAGAAGATGGCGACGTCAACCTCGAGGCTTTGTCTGCAGTAGATGTTCTTCTTGAGTTGGACGAGATTTCCCTTAAATAGTTCGACAGTGCCTTGAAGGCAGGCGATTTGGCCGAAGTGGTCATTGTACGACCGGA